AATGGTTGACAAGCCAATATGAAGTATAAGGACTCGCTTACCATTACCAACATGAAGAACATTACTACCATAGTAAACTTCAGAGTTATCCATGCTTGCTAAATCAGGCGTAACCAAGTTACCAAAACCCTACCAGCCCTCTTGGTCATGCCACTACAAGGATGATCTTTACAAACCAATACAACTATTATAATCTCTATTAACAGGCGATCAACATACCAAAAATCGATCAAAACCCTTCTATTAATTGGCCGTCTGTTGTTGTCGCGGCCACTGGAACCCTATTTTTTAGATTAGTCTTCTTTTGTTTTAAGGTACATTACTACATCATGGCTCTAATAGCCTCTTTTACAACATCGGAGAAACAATCCCACAATTCACACAGGTTTGCTTTTACCCTAATTCCTACAAACTATGGTTATTGGAAAACAATGATTCAACCTTTTCTTGTCACAAATAACCTATTCAGATATATAGATGGATCAATACCTTGTCCATCCAAACATCTACCATCAACCACAACCACCTCAATCCAAAGGCTACCACCGATTCAAAAGATAACCCTAATTATCCGATTTGGATTTCTAATGATGCTTCGCATGTTGATTATCTCCAACATCTCCGAAGCCTCTTTTCGACATGTCTAGGGTGAAACTTCCTGTGATCTATGGTTTGCCCTAGAACGAGCCTATACTCCTCACACATCATCCAGGGAATATACACTAAAAACTTAACTTCTCAAGATTCAAATGAAAGGTGATGAAACTCCATAGGCTTATCTCAAACGTGCACAGGAGTATACAGATGCTCTATCTACCATTAGCAAACCTGTCAAAGATAAAGATCTTCTTATGCTTGTAGTTTCTGGTCTTCATGAAGAATACGACGGTCTTAAATCTCCCATCATCGCACGTCAATTCCCGACTGCCTTCAATGAACTTCATGCCCTTCTTAGTAACCATGACTACATGCTTGGGAAAACTCGTGCCTCTACTCCATCTGTATCTCAGTCTTTTGCAGCTACAACCGGCAATTCTAGTGACTATATAGATTTTTCACCATCGGCACCTTCTGAGTTGTCACAACCTTCTGCCTCTCATCATCAACAACTTGCTGCTATGATACCAAGATAAACCAGAAGGGTTTTTGTGTATTGATTTTCGTTTGTAACATAACTACAATAGGTCTCTATATATAGAGATACTAATTACATAGGAGTTCCCTCTATATTATACTAATTACACTTAAGTACATTCAATATAATATAAATGATCATTGAGCTTTCAAAACAGTTATAAAAAGCTTTCAACTTTCTAAACCATTATAAAAAGCTTTCAACTTTCTAAACCATTAGAAAGATCATCCAACTTCTTTAACATTTTATAATTTTTTTTGGTTATGATTCCCCAAGATAATCAAATTTAAAGTGCAACGGTTTTAATAAAAAAAATCGAGAATTTATTTTATTTTTATTGTAGGATCTATTGAACAATTCAAATGTCGGAGAGGGTTTTTTACATCAAATTCGTATAACACCCCATTCCACACATTGCATGTAACATATACTTCATATACAAGAAATACATGTTTGTACACCACATTGGTCCCTTAGTACAAGAATCTACCAGTATAAAATACATGGTCCAAAAATTCAAAATACAATTTTTGCACTAAACCAGTTTCATCTATCAAAACTAAACATATCATCAGCCATTCTTCATTCAGGTAAACATATAGAGAAATTATCACATTTTCCCTTTTCCCTTACCTTCTGTACTTCCTGCAATACATGTTTAAAATCACAAAACAAGGGTTAGACCGAAAGGTCTAGTGAGTCACCCTATTTATCTCATTGCAGGGTGTTAATCACAAAAACTTTACGTAAAACAACTTTTCATATATATAACAAATATATGAACAAGTAAGGGCATAGTACCAATACCTTTCACTTTTCAAGCCAAATTCTCTGCTTACAAGCAATATATCAACTCCAAACAGGTTTGTACTAACCAGATTATCATAATGCCACTTTTAAACCTCTCAAATCAAATAAGGTTTATTCAAAGTTTCAGGCCAAACCTGTTATTTTCTCTTCAATAACATCCAGACTATGATTTCCAACAAGAACCCAGATCCTAAACTTTTAAGTCACAAAAAAATAAAGATTCCAGACCATAGTAATCTTAAAGGATATAATAGTAAGAGTTATATTACATAACACACACACAAATGCCACCCTTATATCCAAATGTACACCTCTCCTTGATATGTCACCCTTATCCCATGGTACACATCTCCTTGATATGCCACCCTTATCCCATGGTACACCTCTCCTTGATATGCCACCCTTATCCCATGATACACCTCTCCTTGATATGCCACCCTTATTTCTCCATCAAAATATTTTTACAAAACAATTCCATATAGAATAGACCACAGTCAATGGAATTATTATCAGTTCAAATTTATTTTATCAAAATTCTCATTTATTGTTTAAAAGAATCATCACTTGACAAGTCAACATGTAATCCAGTCAACCTTATTCGGATAACAAATCCGGACACTTCACATAACTTGTCCGATTTTTCACTTAGAATAAATCTCAAAATCTTGTCCGGATTACCAATCCGGACAACACTATTCATTTTTTGGCCGATTTAACAATCTGGGTAATGTCATTTTGTCCGATTTATCTAAACCGGCCACCCCTTAGTCGTATTCCTACTTCTCCGTTTAAAACACTGACATAAAATCAAAGTTCATAAATCGCTCAATCTTTAAACCGGTTAAGACATGTCCGATTTAAAACTAAACCGCTTAACTCTTGAGTGGTTTATACTTAAATCGCTTACACCTTGTCCGGTTTAAGACTAAACCGGTTGATATAACCAGTGATTTAGTCTTAAATCGCTCATGTTTGTCCGGTTTATGTCTACATCGCTTAACACTTATCCAATTTAAATCTAGTTCGGATAACACTCATACAGTTTTAAACTTCAAACCAGATGAAAAGTTATACAAACAATTTATGAATTTCAAGAGAGTAAAACATTAAAATCACTCACCTTATGCAATTTCTTTTGAAAATCAGATGAATCCAACTTCTTGAAATCAATCTATAAGCAATCCGGACAAGCTTTTCTCAAATCTCTCTGATTGTTTTCAAAAATAGCTAAGAGGTTTATTTGAGAACTTCACTACATATTTATACCCCTTTCTATAAAAAGAAAGGCGGCTTACCAACCCTTTTTATGCATGCCTCCCCCATGCATGCATACATAAATAATTCATGCATATCAACACATACAAACTCATGCATACATACCTATGCATATGACTAATCATGCGCATACACATATGCTTTTCACATTATGCATACATTTTTATGCATAAAAACACCCATACTCGCATGATCAAATACATCAGTTTATCATGCTATCATGAAATCATTTAACAGATAATCACGTATTCATTACCTTAGGTGATAACCAGGATCTAGTTATCACAATTCGGGCCTATATGACATGACCGATCAATAGAAATACTCCTGCTTATCTCCAACTCGTGAACTTAGCCAATACAAAGCTATATGAGCACGCCTAGCGCGAAAGGTTGCTTTACTAAGTAATATAACATTAGCGCTCAGTCAGAATCTGGGCTAAGAATCGCCCACACGCGCAATTCCTCTCCCTACGAGATAACTTGTTGAAGTCTAATAACTTAGAAATGAAGTTATATATATTGTTACTTATTGCAATTTATCATTTTTGAAAAGATTTATTAATGGAAACTAAAATTTTACCACCTAAAGACTACAAATATTGAAATCGAAGCAACGAGCTTCACTAGAAAGATTGAGCAAAAAAGTGAAGCCGTTTGCCACATAAATAATTTTTCCCATGTAATTATAACTTGAAAGAATATGTGAAACTTCATTTACAAATGAACGTAGATGATAAGGGTATAACAATCGTTCCAACAATCAAGTAGTTCAATTTTTTTTGCAAAACACAACCTAGACCTTGACTTGGCACTTTCCGTTAATAAATTTAGAAGATGCACGTTCTTCATCCATATTTATTCTAAATACAAAACTTAAAATCCAGTTATGAAGTTTGAACATAAGAAGATGCTCTTATATGAAAATGATAAAAGAAACCCAAAAACCATTGACATATTTATAGTGAATTTTTACATACTTCAAGTAATTACCCCTAAATCATTAAAACTAATGATATTTTGTTAATACATCACACATGCACAACACATGTGTAATATAGAAGGGGTTGCTTGTAATTTTTCGATTCTTCTTCAATCTATTATTTTTCATCATTTCACCTAAATATGAAATCCTAATTCCAAAAATTTTCCAACCTAACTATTTCCCGTAAAATAATTATTGCATATGATTACGAGCTGACGACCTGAGGCGTAACGACCGAAGGGACACATGATCATTACGAAATGATATCCTTACAATGGATACTTGTATTAAATGAAGATGAATTGGGGTTTTTCATCACTATTCATTCTTTGAAACATTCTTATACACATACACACACAAATATCAACATCATAATCACAACAATTAGAATCGTGACCATGATCATTTGGCTGCACAAATGACAACAACTCGATTAGCGACCACGATTAAGCAAGAATGATGCTTAACATGTATATTTTGCCAACTACTGATCCATCTATGAACAAAGAATTATCAGCCTGTAAATTGATGATTAATTAATACCTTGATCCAAACTCCAAAAGATAAAAATAATGTTCTTTCTCTAGGTTTTTTTAATTTCTGAATAAATAATATCTTTTGTGTTACGTTTTATTACATTTTTTAATCTAATTATAATTTTGATTTTGCATAATCAATTTCAAAACCCACATTAAAAGTAGAGGGACCAATAGTGCAATTTTAGTAATTCCAAAGGATTCAATTTTGCACCAGGTATAAATGCGTGTTGCTCCCCTAAACCCTAACGATACCTCTTTCCCAATCCCAGCGACGTGAGGCTGAGAGGAGAAAGAAAGACAAGAAAAAAATGGCGAAATCAATGAGATCGAAGAAAGAAAAGAGACTGAGAGCTATTAGAAGAGAGATGGTTCAGCCCTTGTATGAAAAGAAAGACGAAGCCAAGTTCGCTGCCCTTGAAGCCGCCCTTAACGCCCCAAAGCTCCCTGTTCGTACTCGTCCCGATGAAACTGCTTCAATGGATGTCTCCGCCGCCGCCACCACCACCACCAGCAGCAACGCCGATATGGGTACTTCTTTCTTACGCACAACTTCTTTCATGCGGTTTATTAATCGGTGAATGACTATGTGAAGTGTTTATAATCGTGGGATTTGCAATATCGATTTGGGTTTTCCACTTTTAAAGATGTATTTGAGTTACTTGCCCTTTGTAAATTCAAATGTGCTTTCCTATCTTTGGGAGTCATGACCTTTAATTAAATTCATTACCTCCTGGCTATATAAGAAAAAAGGGGTTTACAATCATGAGAAGGTTATGGATATTAAAATCTCATTTAAGGTATGTCTGGGTATTTGGAAGAGTGTTTTCTAAGAAACATAATCAGATAATCATATAAGCAGGTGGCTAAAGTTGGAGGCATTGAGATAATTTTACCTTCAATATCTTTCTAAAGGAGACTACTTGAATATCCAAATCTAAACAATCAGCAAGTAAGAATGTTAATCAGCTAAACTGCACCCATAAGTATTAACCTTCCAATAGCTAGAATCAGTTGGCCAACTAGGCATAAAGTCTCCAATTACTTCAATCAGCAACTAATTGCTGAATTAAGCTTTTCAAAGTTATGGAGATTAGTTAAATCTTCTCAATGATGGAATTCTTGAGTGATGTATCTGATAGGAGTTATTGGATAGCAGACTAAGTAGTTTTTTCTTTTCTTTGCTATTTTGTTGGGGTAACCGTAGGTCCTTGGGCCAACTCAGGCACACTGACTGATTCTCGGGCGACCATGAATGTTTTGTAGTCGTCTAGTGAACCTCCATGGCCACAAGGGCTTTGGTAGTGCCTGGATTCAAACCCAGGGAAGATGAGATTTTCACTAAGGCTGTGTTTGGTACATGGGACAGGACAGGACAGGATGGGACAAATCTCACAAGAACCCACTGTCCCACGTTGGCGCGACATGGGACAGGGACAAGATTGGGACAAGGTGGGACAACATGGGACAAAATAGGCTTTTTCTTGTTCTACCAAAATAGGTGGAACAAGATGGGACAAAAACTAAAATATTATTAATCTACCCTAGTTTGATATATAATCTTAATATGATATTTTTTTTAGATGCCCCTGTGCCTTTGCTATTTTTCCATACATTTCTGTTTTTTTGGTGTTGCATAATTTTAACTAGTTTTAGTTCTTTCTTTCAATATTTGGCATATCTTTCTTGACTCAAGTTCACCACTTTAGAGTTCTTGGCTTTTTCGAAGTCTTCAAACTTTTTGGGCAAACTGTCTTTGTCTCACACAATTTTCTCAAGCTACGGGTCTTCATGAAAATAGTTGTTCTATTCCTCGGGTAGTGGACATGTTTGCTTTCATCTCACCTCCAAATGGGATACACTGCCTCCTTTGGTTTGGTATCAAATATTCATATGTTTGTGTGACCAAACATTTTTATTTCTATAAATTCTGGGTTTCTAGAATAGCAGATTTCATATCATTTTCTCGAACACGTATTGTGGTAGAGTTCATGTGAACTTGAGCATTTTGTATAAAGTTAGATATGTGAATGTGATGGACTAAAGATGGTTTTACAAGGTGGATCATAACATAAGCTCCCTTATTGCCCTGATCAGACTAGTAGCTGATCTGCTTATTGAATCTGAATCTTGGTTGAATGGATTGAGTTGTTGATGTGTATGATTGATTGATTGATTGAATATAGCAGATGTGGAGATGGATGAAGGCAGCAGCAGAAAGTCGTTGAAACCTATCGGGAGGAGGTTGAAAAAGAAACTGAAGCTGAGCAAAAGGAAGTATCGCGGCAAAGGCAAAATAAGGAAGAAGAACATATAATTAGTTGGTTTTATGACCTCTTCAATTTGAGTTTGGTTTTGTGATATGTTAGTAGGCTATTCTATTAATGAAATTCCTTCATCTTCATGTGGATGGATGTTACATGGACAACAATAGTTGTTGAGTTTTATATGTGAGATCATCTATGGCTCATTATCATTTATCATGCTCTTCATACACATTTATTCAATTCATTATCTTTTTTATTTAAAGTTTATATATGCACAAATGAACCTACACCCTCTCTTCATAGTAGTATTATAGTATGCATGTTTTGACAGGTTTTTATATAATAGATACTTGCTATAAGTTCTTGTGATAAATACCCATATATTTTAGGCTATGATTCAAATCATTATTTATATAAATGAAACCATCATTGTTGTTTTATATGAAAAAAAGAGATGAAAGATATATGATGATAATAAATAGGTTTGAGTTTAGAGACCTGTGAGATCAAATTTTTACACTTGAAGCTTTACATCAAAACATTTTGAAGATAAAAAAGATCCGAACCTTTTCAACAAAAACACTGTGAAAGGTTACTTTCATGGTGTTTTACTGTAAAGTTTCAAGTTGTAAAAAGGTGGTCTTATAAGTCTCATGAAAACAGACTTATTTCACATTATCTTAAGTCTAATAAATATGTTTTTAAAGATCAAGACTTTTAATTATATAGAATATTGACCACAGTGAGTTGATAAACCACGATTCAATCTTGGTTGTGTAAATTAATCTTGAGATTAGATCTGACTTGTTTAAAGTCTTTATTGATGTTCCACCAAATCATTTTTAATTTCAAATTACGCTTTATCTATACTACCTTATTAAACAAATTTGATCAAAGTCTTAACTTTTGAAATACCGAAAATACCCTTAAACCTATTTTACACGCCTCCTTTACACGCCTCCCTTCCCTTCCCCCAATATGCCTCTTCAATTTACCCGGCTCCCCTCCCCCAAGAACACTCCTCCCTTATCGGCTCCCGAGACGACGATTCACTCCCCAAGATGTTCCCTTTAAGAGTCGTCCATCGTCGAATCGTTCCCACCGCCGAATCGTTCCTCAATCGCTTCACAATCGCCTTCAATCGCCTTCGTCGTTTCCAATCGGCTTCACATCTATACCGCCGAATCGTTCCTCAATCGCTTCACAATCGCCTTCAATCGCCTTCGTCGTTTCCAATCGGCTTCACATCTATACTACCTTCAATCGTCGCTTTCAGGTATGAACTGTTTGAGTTTTGTTTTTAGGTTTTGCTTTTGGGTTTTGGGTTTTCGCTCTCCATTTTCATCTGTTTCAGTTTTGCTTTTGCGTTTTGGGTTTAGGGCTTCATTCGACCGCYGAATCGTTCCTCAATYGCTTCACAATCGCCTTCAATCGCCTCAAAAATCGCAGGTTGCTTTCAGAAAATCGCAGGTTGCTTTCAGGTTGCCTAAATTTAGTATAGGTTTCTAATCGTTTTTAGGTTTTCCTATAGGTTTCTCTACCTGCGCAGCATCACGATCGCTGACCATCCCTTTTCCTTGCAGCTCTGTTTCTGCGTTCCGCCTTTTTCCAGTCTTCCTATAGGTATGTTCTTGTTTTTCTCTTTTTATTCCTTCGGTTTTGACGGYATTATTTAACATCTTTCATGCCCTCCGTTCAATTTCGCAAAGTCCGTATCCCTCTTCATATAATACTCAACCTCGAATACGAGCTAAATTAGTTAAAACAAAAGTCACCTAATTTCGTTACTCACTCACTCCCCTACAGAGGTCCTGGAGTTTTTTTTTTATCGTGAGATTTAATAAAGATACTAAGGTAATACTATTTGATTGGTGCTTGACATAATGCTATGATATATTTTGTTAAATGGTGGCATCGTCACTTGATATGCAACAAAAGGTTAAGTTCCATACAAATTTGTTTTTCTTTTTCCCTCTGAAGTTCCATTCTTTTTTTCGTTCCTTTCATGATTTATTTGTCCGTAGAGACTTTTTGATTATTAAACATCTTATTTCATGGTCATGTAATGTGTTGCACCTCTTGATTTTTCAACTGTAATTCTATGTGTCTGGCAGCAGATTTCATTGAGTTACTGAATTTTGTAGGGTCTGGAGTAGTCTTTGGATCTTTAGAACTTAACATCATCACCATGGAAAAACATCCTTATCTCCTACCAGAAAATTGCAATTCCTCTTTAGTTTCCCGAATGTTGTCTGTGAATATGCTATCTTCTTCGACTTGCAAATCAACAATCTTGTTTCTTTTTTTTCCCCCTTACTCCTACTACGGTGACATAACTAATGAGGATTTTAACACAGGCATGTGTTGTTGAACCACGTGTTTTGGTTTATTCCGCATGTTTTGTTTTTCTAACCCTAAAATTTCTTAGCCACCCTTCCCAATATTAGTGCTGAATTCTTCCGCTAATCATTTTTAGGTTTTGCTGTAGGAAGATCATCTTGCACTGTTTTGCACCGAATCGTTCAATCGCAAGTGATCTTTTCATTATCCATCCCCTGTTTCAAAAAAGAAGATATGCATGGTGTTATTACCAGCATTTTCTATTTCTATGTGGAATTTTAGAATCTACTATCCACCTGAATTTGCTTCCCATCAGCCGAACTTGCAGTGAAGGAACACCTGCATGATGAAGCTTTCATTAGTACAACAAATTATATCCCTAACCAGAAAGGTCAAATGCAAATGTTCTTTCTCGAATTCAAGATTATTTCCAGAACCAATCAATGGTAATTAGGCTTTATTTTAGGGACAATTATCACATTAATATTGACACTTATATGCTGGTTATTTATCTCCTTAAATAGAGG